ACGTTCTTCGAGCGATAGCGTATGTTTAGAAGAGATTGTGTCCAACTCCCAAAACCTAGTTAAATCAAAACCTACATCTATGGATGAATAATTGCAAAAATGGGAATTTGTCGAGTGTGGCTAAACAAAAACGGAGCCTGACACTATCCAACCTAACTTTGTTTCATATAATGTAGGCTGTTTTTTCCCAAGGTCTATTCTATTGCAACCTACAACTTCCCAAAAGACTTCCGCCCCTACCAACAAGTCTATGACAGACGGAACATCGAAAGCTGGGTCGGCCAAACGTAAACCAGTAGGGATTGGTATATTGTTTATAGATACCGGTGGCAACCGTTGTGTAATTTCCGGTAAAATAATACATTCTATTTGTCTAGAATAACCACCATTTAGCGACTCAAACGTAAGAAAGCAAGACTGTGTACTAATACTTTGTTGGTTGTTTATACCTGTTACCTTGGAGCGCGTGCTATGCCTAGACAACCCCAGATCCTCGCATAGACCCGCAGTAAGAAAATTGGCCGTACTGCCTTTGTCGAGTAGCATGCGCACCTCTTGTTTCTTCCCGCTGGAGCTCACCACTGTCACCAGCGCTGTGGATAGCAAAATAAAGGCTTGCGAAGTAGTCTGTTCGACACAAGCGTTAGCTGATTTCAGCAGGGTCTGGCATAGGATTTACAATACGAGTCTCATTTTTATCCAAATGTAAAAGAGTATTATGCTTTACTTTACAATATTTACAATGAGCCAACAATTTACAACGTTTCTGACTGTGACCAGGACGTAAACAGTTAATACAAACATTAAGGTCATAAACCGTGCGAATACGTGATTCAATTGATAAACCTTTAAATACATCACATGTATAAAGATAATGATTATTTGTATATATAAAGGGCATAAAGGGCATAAAGGGCATTTCAGTGTACTAAATTTATTTAAATGTTTACTTTTACTTTGATTACTACCACTATCTGTTACAATAAAGCTTTTTGATTTGTTACTATTTTCTGATTTGATTATTTTCTTATGTTCCTCTAAAGTTTCTAACAGGTCTGCCTTATCCCCTAAAAATTTACAAAAGTGAATAAGTGTTGGGGTACCGCTGATGGAGTTGCGATGTTCTTCCCAATTCCTGGAAGTAAAGGGGTCTAATTTGGTACATATCATGTAAATTATTAAAGTGTCCCAATGTTCAGTGGGTTCGTTTAACATCTTTAAGGCCCGGAGGTTCTTATTTGTTATGTCCACGAGACGACGCAACGAAGTACTAGACTCCATTTGTATGGAATCGACGTTGAACAAGGCCTGCACATGATTATTTATTAATAAACGATTATTGTTGTATCTTTCGCAAAGTAAGTTCCAAGCCAACTCATAATTATCGCTTTTAAAAATTATGTTTTTAATAATTTCTGCAGCTGTGCCTTTTAAACTAGCCCTTAAATAGTGAAACTTACAAATAGGATCAATATTATCGTTGGAATGTATTAAAGATTGGAAGGTGTCTCTAAATTCGAGTCAAAATTGATAACCGCCGTCAAAGTGGGGTAGATTAATTTTTGGTAAACGTATAAAATTTTGTCTGTGCCCACCTGATGCTGAGCTCTCAGAGTCTATCACGGAGCCTGCAGTTTGACGCGGGTTGTTGCTAGCGAGCAGCTCACGCGCTGCAGCAGTCAACGCGTGATACCGGTCTTCGAACTGACTCCGTGCTTGATATGCCTCCTCCGGTTTATCCGACAACGATTCAATTTCAGTCTGTAAACCGTCAAATTGATCATATAGATTTTCAAATTTACTAAACCGACTTTCTAGTTCCAAGCGTTGCAGTTGAGACAATTTGGAACAACTATTTAAAATATCTAAATAGTTGCCAAAGTTTGTAAGCTCAGCTTTCATTGAACTACGCTTATTAAAAAGCTTTTCAGCCATTTTGACAGAAATAAATTAACAAATTAGGTTTGAAGAAAAAAAAAATAGGCAAACTTGGTACGCAATAATAAAGCAAAGGTAAGATTTACTAAGTTGTATTTGTAAGGTCCTGTCTTTGTAAGGTTACCTAGAAACTACAACGTAATAAAAAAGGCAAAAAAGCTTAGTGAAAAAAAGTTAATACTTATTTATTCACTTTGGTAGGTATACAAAATAACTCAAATTGTCTAGGGTTTGAGGGATTGCAGTAAAAGGATAAATTGGAACGAGCTCACGTTTATCGATATCCTTATCCACAATTTCAATCGACGACTTCTTTAATCCGTAGACTGCGTGGCATCACACATCGAATAAATAGGCTAGCGGTTCAAAGTTCACTGTAACCAAGCGGTCGTGGCGAGCGTGGACTGTATTTCTTTTTCTTGTTGATCGCTGCTTCAAAAACGACGAAGGACCATATGTTAAGTTCGTGTCTTAGCTAGGCTACGGTCAAATAAAAACTTCGTTTATAAAATACTCGACACGTAATTTAATGTAATAGACCGTAAATAGATAGAATAGATGATAGTTAGTAAGTAAATAGGTATAATAATAATAACCATACAGTAAGGAATAAGTCTTAGTTGTAGTTAACATGTGATAATCAACTGTAGTTTTATAAGTTTGTTATTTGTTATTACAATATAGCCTACTTACCAAATACAGTTCTTGTGTCATACATGACATGACAAGCAGCACATAAGAGATATCCAGTGGTAATTGCGGCTGTCGGCGTCAAATCAATAACTCTGGTGGGCACTGAAAATCAGTACTGGGACGGACCATGTCCATCACAGTAAATGCTGAGGGTCCACCTATTCTGTGGGACACAGCGTACAACTCTCATCCACACAAGCTATCTATCTATGTGGTTAAGATTGAGAGGCATGCTTGGTTACATGCAAAACATAGTAACCTAAAATAATAGTGATCACCACGTCAGCGCCACGTCAAATATGATCACAGTCTCACAGACAACTCATGACCACAGATAGCGTAGTATAGTGTTGCACGTAAAAAAAAACCTTAAAAATGTAATGTTATTGTAAGTTGTACTAAGTTATTAATTTATATTAAGTTGTATGCTGCGTTCTCGTACAGAATAAAGTTTATTTTATTATTATTATTTTTAAATAATAACTGTATGCGCAGTCGCAGCTGGTTGGAAGCCGAGTGCCGGCGGCGATCCTCATTCGCGATGTCCCTCGCTGCGCCCCGCACGTCGCATCCTGCCCCGGACAGACCCGGCTGTGGGTGCGCGTAGACAATATTTATACGGTATTATTCGATTACATGTTCCACTCACGTGACGTAGATCAACTGCATTTCCTGTGTGGTTTAGTGCTCCTCTCATTAAAATTTTCAAACAGAAGGAACGTGCTTGGGTAAGGTGGAAAAAACTTCGAAAACTATCAGATTATGAAAAATTCTCCATCTACCGAAAACATTTCAAACAACTATCTGAACAATGTTTCAATAAGTATATATCATCTATTGAAGATAGCATACCTCTCAATGTTAAGCACTTTTGGTCGTACATTTCTAGACGCAGGAAGGACAGCGGACTTCCAGCTAGCATGTGTTATAAAAATATATTTTCTAACAATCCCAAAGAAATCTGCTCATTATTTTCCACATTCTTTAGCTCGGTTTATGTGTCATCTACCTTTGACGCTCAGAATTGGTCACCTCCCAATGAACTTGCTGAGATATCTTCTTGCATCTCTGACATCTATCTCGATAAGAATGTCATATTAAAGTCGCTGTTGTCATTAGATCTAACTAAGGGGCCAGGTCCGGATGGTCTCCCACCTATGCTCTTTAAGCACACAGCGCAATGCATCCACATTCCGTTGTATATACTTTTTAACAAATGTCTCAAGGAAGGGGTATTTCCGTGCATTTGGAAAAGAGCTTTCATTATACCAGTTCATAAAAGTGGAGACAAAGGTAATATAGAAAACTACAGGCCCATATCCATACTGACCACCTTATCTAAGCTTTTTGAAAGTCTAGTACACGGTCAATTATTTCCTCAACTGAGTCATCTTATTATTCCCGAACAACATGGATTTGCTAAATCCCGTTCTACTACTACAAATTTAATGATCTTTACCCAATTTTTATTTGAGAACTTGGATAAGGGCATTCAGGTTGATGCTGTATACACTGACTTTCAAAAGGCTTTTGATAAGGTGGACCACAAGTTGCTTTTGGACAAAATTGCCTTCAACGGCATCAGAGGTAATTTACTTAGATGGTTCATATCATACATATTCCGTAGAACTCAAAAGGTCGTTATCAATGGTTATGAGTCCGATTTTATGGTCGTCGAGTCGGGAGTGCCCCAGGGCTCAGTACTAGGCCCTTTGCTTTTTATTTTGTTTATAAACGATATTAGTACCTGTATAGTTAACTCTAAATTCCTAATGTATGCTGACGATATGAAAATCTATAAGACCTGCACTAATACTCAGGATTGCATACTATTGCAAGAAGGTCTTTATAGGCTCTTACAGTACTGTGTTGTTAATAAACTGCACCTTAGTTTACCAAAATGTCACTTTATATCCTTCACAAAGAACAAAAGTCCTAATAACTTTCCATATACACTGAATGACACAAATCTTAGGAAAAAACGAATGTACTCGAGATCTTGGTGTTCATCTAGATTCTAAATTACATTTAGATATTTGAGGTGTGTTAAAATAAAAACGCGGGTTGACAGTACGACCGTTTATTCGGGAGTGGCGAGTGCGGTGGCGGCTAGGCGATCGACGCCCGTACATAAGTATATATATATACGAGTATAATACATCACATACCTCTACCCTTAATTACTCAGGCACTTTTTATTGGAAATAGAATACCTGAAATAATCTATACAATAATAAACTTAACAAATATACTTAACTTTACATAATAACCCTATCTATATACAATTTTTCTTTTTACAAACATAAGATGTACAAAATCTTTGTTCGACATTTAACTACAATTATAAATAATAGATGCCAGCAAACATATTAGACTTTGTAACGGGGTGGATTATTTATTCGACATTGTCGCACCGGACGAGGCTCGGACGAAACAGGGAGGGTCGAGCGAGGGAGCGGTGCCAGTGCTGCGTCTACTTCTCCCTCCATGCAATCCTGGAACTGGTCCGCCGTTTCATCGTTTCTAATTGCGGGCGATATCTCTCTATTCGGACTAAAAGATATCCGGTGCCGCGCAATATCATCGGTATCGGTACCCGGCTCCAGGGGACTGGAAGGACAGATTAGTGAACTACGTATCCGTTGCTTAAGCTGATCAATATGCTTGTGCGACTGCCTACCCAACTCATCGATTACGGTTACGATTCGGTACGGGTAAAAATAAGCTCCTTGCTCTGGAAAGAGCTCAGAGAGGAGTACTAAAGGTTATGACATTTAAACCTATTCGCTATTCTACCGTCGAGTTATATAGTGAATTGAATATACTTACGGTAAGAAAATTGTACTTATTAAATATGATCTTACGCAAACACAGGGAATTACAATATAAGTTGAATCCTAATAAAAGAAGGAATGACAAAGTATGTGATGTGGAATTCTGTAGACTGGAGCTGTCGAAAAGGCACTATTATTATTTGGCTCCCGTATTATATAACAAGGTGAATAAGGTGTTGCGTATCTACCCTTGTATATTTCGTGAATGTAAACATAAAGTAACGCAGTGGTTGCTTGCCCTAAATTATGATGATACCGAACGTCTCCTGACACGACCTCAATGAGAAATTCGAGCAATCTTAAATTGATGAGTTTTGGAAACACCGGCCTAAAGACACACACATGTACACATACATATGCTCTTTCAAACACCACACACATGCACAGACGAACACACACACACACATATGCACACACATAACACTCACATATGCACACACACACATACACACACACACACACGCGCGCGCACAAACACACACACACACTAACAATTCTACGTATTCTGACCCACACTTCTTATAACATTGTTAAATTAATTTATAACTTTGATTTGGTTTATATTCAGCAAGCATGATGAAACTTGTAACCTGTAACTTATCTTCCGGAGGTGGGCGTTAATGGCTGCAACACAGTTATGAACTATAGCAGTCATTATCAACCATATTCTACTGTGCAATTTGTTACTTTTAGTTACAAAGAATAAACTTTTTATGTTTATGTTTTATGATTACCCTATAGTCGGAAGTTCCTATCTTTTCTGTGACTTTCCCTGACCTCCATTTATCTTGCCATTATAATGGCGCAGCCAGACCTCGTCTCCTGGGTTAAGAGTACGGTTTCCTTTAGCACCCCCTTCCTGTTGTCGTTTTTGAGCTTTGGCCACCCTAGCACCCCTATCGGGTCTTAACGCATCGAGTTTAGTTCGCAACCTACGACCAAACATTAACAGCGCTGGTGTTTCTCCCGTTGTACAGTGTTCAGTATTTCGGTAATTCAGCAAGAACGTATTTAAAGATGCAGTTATATCTACGTTTTCTCTCATAGCTTTCTTAATAAAATTTTTAACTGTTTTCACCGCATTTTCAGCAGCGCCGTTAGATGCCGGGTGGTATGGTGCTGAAAATAAGTGTTCGACCCCTACTGATTTTAAAAATCGTGAAAAATCGTTGCCATTATCCGAAACTAATTGTTTTGGTAAACCAAAACGGGCAAAAAGGTCACTCAAAAACGTAATGGTATGACTAGCTGCAGTACTAGCGACTTGAGTCACCTCTAACCATTTTGTTCTTGCGTCTACGGGGCCCAAGAAATCTACATGTACCCTGGACCATGGTTTGTCTAGCCAAGACCACGGGCAGGGCGCGTGCCGCGGTGGTGAGTCACTCTCCGCTGCACATACGCGACAGCTGCGACACATTGCCTCGATGGCTTCGTCCACACCAGGCCACCACACATAACTTCTAGCGAATGAGTTTGTTTTAACTATGCCCATATGACTCTCATGGAGTTCTGCTAAAATTTTTGTTCTACATCCCTCGGGTACTACTATCCTGTGGCCCCATAAAACACAGCCCAATTCTTCATATAATTCATTTTTGCGATTAAAGAAAGGCTGGAGGGTTTTAATTTCGTTCTCCATAGGGCACTCAGTGCGTATATAACTAAGAATTCGACTTAATAACGGGCCACGACTAGTTTGCCGTTTGACATCCTCATAGTTTAATAGCATCGCGTTATGGGCAAAATGTAAATAAGTCTGTTCGGGTACCATATCCCGCTTGACAGACTGGCCCGCTGGTAAACGAGATAGGCCGTCGGCCCCGTTTTGTTTGGATGTTACATACTCAATGTTGTAAGTATAAGCGGATAATTTAATAGCCCACCTTTGTAATCTACTCGCTGCCATTGATAATCTGTGATCTCTGAATAATGTTTTTCGATCTGTTTGTTCGATCTGTGAATAATGTTTTTCTGCCGAAGTAAGCGCTCGGGATACATACACCACTGGCCTCTCGCACTCGCGAAAACCTCCATTCACACCGTCTCGCTCACACGCCCATTTCTGGCTCAGAACCCCGCCTATACCGCGCGCGCTTGCGTCACATGTTAAAAACAAAGGTTTATTCGAATCGTAATGGGCCAAAACATCAGCTCTTAGTAATATTGACTTTATTTTAGTAAATGCCAATTCACAGTCCCTACTCCAATTCCAAACTATTCCCTTTTTTAATAAAGTGTAAAGTGGTGCTAAGATGGTGCTTAAGTTTTGTATAAATTTAGCATAAAAGTTAATGGTACCCAAAAATGCCCTTAAGTCTTTGATATTGACTGGCCGTGGTATGTTTAATATACCCTCAACTTTTTCCGGATCTTCTTTAATTCCGTCCGCTGAAATTATATATCCTAAATATTTAACCTGGTTCGTCATAAAATTACATTTATTTAGTTTTAGTTTCATTCCGTTATCATGCAGTCGTTGAAGTACTTTCACTAATATCTGTAAGTGAATCTTGATATTAGGGGTCCCTAATATAATGTCGTCGAGAAATACCTCCACATGTGGAATATCATTGAGAAGGTTTGACATAATTTGTTGAAAAATGCCTGGGCTCGAAGACAGACCAAAAACTAATCTTTTGTATTTAAAAAGGCCCTTATGGGTGTTAATTACCGCCAAATTTTCCGGGTCATCCAAAACTACCTGATTGTATGCCTGACTTAAATCGGTTTTTGTAAAAAATCTGGCACCGTTTAACTTAAATAACAGGTCATTGATTCGCGGGAGTGGATATCGATCAATATTAAGCACAGGATTTAATGTAACCTTGTAGTCAGCACAGATACGAAGTCCACCATCGGTCTTACGTACGGGTACCAGAGGGGTCGCCCAGTTTGCGGCGTCCACAGGCTCGATGACTGCGTCCCGCAGCATGGCGTCCAGCTCGGCCTCCACGCGCTCGCGCAACGCGTAAGGCACGGGCCGCGCGCGGCAAAACACCGGCACCGCGCCCTCGCGCACCTGTAGCCGTGCTGCTCCTCCTCTGACCCGACCCAGCCCCGGCGTGAATAGTTCCTGATACCTGTCGAGTAATTGTTTCAATCCTTTAGTGTTGTTGATATATACATCACTATTTTTGCTCTCCGAAACCTTATGCAACATAGGTATCGGAATCCCCAGTTCTGAAAGCCACTGCCTCCCCAGTAATGAAGTTATGCCACCCTCTATTATAAAAAGTTCTAATTTTTTTGAGTTACCTTCATAATGAACAATCGGATTTATAACACCGAGGGGTAAAATTCTACTGCCATTGTAGAACTTAAATATTAAATTAGATTTTTCTATAGGATTTCTGTAAAAATATCTATCTGTTGTATATACAGTAATTGGAGGTAGCCAAATGACACAACCGGTACGTACAAGCTCGTATATAATCGTTGACTGACGCAGCAGTCTATCTAAATCAGTAGTGTAAACTATATATAAGTACCCTACATTGTTACTCACTAACATTCCTCCACCTATATTTAAAAAAACTGTCGATAGTCTACGGGAGGTCTTTGCCGCCTTGACCGGCCACTCCCTTCACCAGGGAGAATCTCAGGTACAGTTAGCTCCTTGTCTTCAACCGCATTAGCTTCTCCATCGCTGGGAGTACCCGTGCCGATGTCTCCTGGAGATTGTGCGGGTCTAGTATCTTCGTCGCGTTCTTGAGACAGTCCGCTTCCATCCATTGACGTCTCCGCTGGAGCCGATACTGGCAAGACGAATGCGGGAAGTACCTCGTTCTCTTCTTTATATTTTAACAATTGATTGGCATGTCTTTTTACCGTATGCTCCGTGTTACCTATTTGCACTATATATATTGAGTTACCATTTTTTTTTACTATTGATCCCTGTACCCATTTATGTTTTTGCTGTCCATACATTCTAACTAATATTTGCTCTCCCACACTAAAATAAACTTTGCGATTTCCGCGGTATGTATCACTCTGCAAGCACTGTTTAGATTTGACAATTTCATCAAGTGCCGAATCAGATGGCGTTGACGAAGTAGGCATGAGTATGTCTAATCTACATCGTAATTTACGGCCAAACAATACCTCAGCAGGTGATCTGTTAGTAGTAGAATGGTTAGAGTTCCTATAGCGTAGCAAAAATTCTTGTAATCTAATATTTAAATCACGTGAATTCACTCCCGTTAATAAAGAAGCTTTAATCGCTTTTTTAATTATTTTTACGTAAGATTCAACCTGACCATTGCTTGCCGGATTATAAATTGGCGACGTTAAATGTCGTATATTATTACGTAAACAAAATTGTTTGAATTCATGGGAAATAAAGGATGTACCGTTATCTGAACAAATTGTATGAAACAATCCAAATCTAGCCATAACCTCACATAGTTTTTCTATTACGACACGAGAACTAAATCCGGAAGAGACATCAAAACATTCCACCCATTTAGAGTATGCATCTACAATTATTAAATATGTACGGCCGCTGATCGGACCCAAAAAATCAACGTGTACACGCAACCACGGCTGGGTGGGATAGGGCCACGGAGTAAGCGGGGCGCGCGGGGGTGAGGAACGCAGCGTAGTACAGACAGTGCACGCCCCAACGAAACGCTCAATATGTTTACTTATGCTGGGCCACCAAAATCAATTTCTCGCTTCTTCTTTCATTTTAGATATACCTAAATGACCTTTATGTAATTCACATAACACTTTATTTTGCAACTTTTCAGGTATAATCAATTTATGACCTCTTAATATACAACCATTTTCAACCGATAATTAAGAGCGATGACTATAATTATTTTTTATCTTAGGATCAAATACTTTATGTGGCCAACCGTTTAAAACATATTTGAGAACCGTTGACAGGGTTGTATCAGCGTAATAGCCCTCTCTTACATCCGAAAATGATAAAAATCTTTCACCTTCGTAAACAAACCGCACGTACGTCGATCTATCTAATAATGAGTCATCGCACACCAGTGGCGAAACATCGTCGCTACGCGGCGACTTACTCCCTGCCGGACGAATAGCTCGACTTAAGTAATCTGCGCTGTTATGACTACTGCTCACATATTCAATTTTATAATTATACGCTGATAGAAAAATCGCATAGCGCTGAAGCCGATTTGCAGATATTTCTGACAAAAGATTCGGCATAGTAGGACCATACAAATATGGATGAAATTTTTTTATACCGAAAATAATAGCAGTAGCCTCTTTTTCAATTTGGCTATAACGTTTTTCTGCTGCATTAAGGGATCGAGACATAAAAGCAATGGGCTTTTCTATACCCTCTTCGACTTGTGACAAAATGGCACCGAGACCATGTGGTGACGCATCCACCGTTACAATTAAGTTGGCATTTGGATTAAAGTGAGCTAATGTTGTATCTGCTACCAATTCACGTTTTATGTGTGTTACACAGCCTTCTCGTGTTCCTTGCTCCAGAACCATTTTACATTTTTCTGTAACAATTTATGAAGAGGGCTTAGTATAGACGACGCGTTCCGTATGAAATTTCTGTAATAATTCACCATGCCCAAAAATGATTTTAATTCCGATACGTTTGTAGGTACACGCGACTGCAAAATTGCTTGGACTTTTTCCGGCGATTTATGGATACCATTACGATCAATCACCACTCCCAAATAAACAACGGATTCTTGAAAAAATGAACACTTGTCTGATTTTAATACAACACCAGAATCCTGTAGTCTACTAAAAACTTTTTGTAACCTACTTAACATTTGATTTTCGTCTACCCCCCAAATTAAAATGTCATCAAGGAATTGGAGATTACCATCCAATCCCGTAAGTACCGATTCCATTGTTCTCTGAAAAATCGCGGGTGCACTTGCTAAACCAAATACTAGTCTTGTGAATTTAAATAACCCCTTATGTGTATTAATGCAAGTGAGCATTTGTGATGACTCATTTAAACCTAGCTGATTATATGCTTGTGAAAGATCGAGCTTAGTGAAGTATTTAGCACCGTGTAGCTTTGAAAATAATTCGTCGTATCTAGGGAGCGGATATTTGTCTACATGTAATTGTTTATTTATTGTCACGGAATAATCAGCACAAAGTCGAATGGAGCCGTCGCGTTTCAATACTGGTAAGGTACCGACTTCTCGCGGTAAAGCTAGATTTCGAATCAATCTATACGTAGATTCAACACAATTGCTGAGTAAAATAGCCCGACGTTTGCAACCGGCCTTATCTGTGTCCACTGTAATATCGTTTGCTAAGAACCACTGTTCGAGTTTTTCTTTATAGATACACCATTCTTGCACTTCGTGATTGAATGCGGATAAGGTGCCCAACGTTATTTTCGCCATTTCCAATTTATCCTCGTCGCCACTGTTGTATATACAGTAATTGGGGGTAGCCAAATGACACAACCGGTACGTACAAGCTCGTATATAATCGTTGACTGACGCAGCAGTCTATCTAAATCAGTAGTGTAAACTATATATAAGTACCCTACATGGTTACTCACTAACACTATCATAAGTCTTTTTACTTATACAAGACACTAAAGACCCCGTGTCCACCTCCATAGGTAGTTCTATCCCATCTACTGATACAAGTAAGCTTACCGCCTTATAGCTATTTAAGCTCAATTGATGCCATTCTTCCTCCACCGCCCACAGGGCTTACCGTCTATTAAGCATACTTGGTTAGAATGGAAAACAATGTTGAGAGAATCATTTCCAGCGACAGAGAACTATGCTGAATTACTGACGGACGTGCTTAATAGACGGGTACGCTCGGGAGAATCTTTTGAACTTTACTATTTTGCAAAGATCAACCTACTGAACCGATGTAAGATCTTTGGGAAGCAAGCAGTAGATTGTTTATTTTGACGATAGGGGCGTTCGCGTCGGAGCGCAAGCGGCTAAATTTAATAAGCCTGAGGATGTCTTAGAATTTTTTTTAAAGTATTGTTAATACCCGGGCAAGCGTAAATTTATGCCCAACCGAGGGGTCCGCAAGTGCCCCGGCTGGGAGTGCGCTTACGAATGAACTACCCATCAGCCATGCATCCCCTGGCCACGCACCAGAACACGGGATTCGGGGAATTTTTTAGAGAGGTTTTCTTCCTCGCGGTCCGGGCGGTTAAGCCAAGACCCTCGTCCCCGATCAGAGCCGCGAGACTTGACCACAGCGCTCTTCTCGGGATAACGATATGCCGACGGTTGACAGGGAGACTACGTCCCCCTGTCTGCTCGGTGGTAGTGTCAGTACACGCCGAGCCCGTCCTCCTTTTCTCCACCGCTGTCAGCGGAGAAACTGATGCCCCTACAGGCCCCACCTTCTGGTTTTTTACCGAGGTTTCCTCCTCCATGCTCCGAAGAGCGAAGAGCCAGCAGGGCAACCGGCAGACACGCCCACCCTGCTGGACCAGGCCTTGCCCGAGAGCCGATGAACGGCTTCCTCTTCTGCTAGAATATTAGCCGCTGGCGATAATCCTCTCCTCCAAGTGGACAAGGGGGAAACAGTGCCATCGTCAGCGTTTCCAGGGTGCACCACGGGGAGGTTTTCTAGCATAGCACCCCACCCCATCCTCAACCTAACCCTCTCTTTAGGCGACGTCCGGCACACGCGGACGCCGCCCCCTCGCGGCTGGCCAACTAATGCGGGTGGAGGGGAGAACCCATCCCGTCCACCCGCGGCCTCACTCAGGGCGGCATGAGGCGCAGGTAAGCGCGCCTCCGCCGCCCGGTTCGCCGGCGGCGGATCAGGTCCGAGTGGAGCTCGTCCTCCCGGGCCTTCTCCGCCGCCTCCTTCTGCGAGATTACCTCCTCGCAGAAGGTTGCGACCGCGGTAAAACAACTGTCGCTACCGGCCATGGAGCGAATTACGGCCGGCAGCGAGAGATCTGCTCCGATGACTGCAGTGAGGGCCCGGCGCTGCGTCGCCCATGCGGGGCAAACCACCAGCGTGTGCTGGGCCGAATCCTCACTGCAGTCGCAGTGGTGGCAGGCGGGACTCGATTCCCTCCTAGCGACCGAGTACAGGTACTTTCCGAAGCAACCGTGCCCGGAAAGCACCTGCGTCAGCCGGAAGGAAAGGGTCCCGTGCTGCCGCCCTGCCCACTCGGCGATGACCGGCTGGAGAGCCTCCACGGCGGCGAAGCCAGCGCGTGGAGTCTCCAGCCGGAACGACCATCTGACCATGGTGGCTCGGCGAGCGGCTTCGTGCCACTCGCGCACGTCTTCGGGCGGAGGGCGAAATCCGCTCTCCGCCCGGAAGTCAGCCACTCGCCGATACACTTCGGCGAGTACTTCCGCCTCCAAATCCCACGGGGGTGTTCCGGCCAAGGCGCAAGCCGCCTCGGTGGACACCGTGCGGTATCCGCGTATGGCTCTGACCGCCAATATCCTCTGGGGGCGCCAGAGGCGCGCCCTATTCGGGGCGGTCAGAGCCGCCACCCACACAGGTGCACCATACAGCGCCATGGACCGGACAACCCCCGCGTACAGCCGCTTCGTGGGAACACTGGCCCCGCCCAAATTGGGCAAAAGTCGCCCTAGGGCGGAGGCAGTGTCCACCAGCTTCGGACCAAGCTGTCGGAAGTGCTCGTCGAAGAGCCACCTACGGTCTAGGACCAGACCCAGGTACCTCATCTGGGCCCGGACCGGTACGAGGACCGAGCCGACCTCGATTGAGGCGCCGGCGGGTGGACCACGACGGGGCCCATGAAATAA